AGAGAGAAATAAATGGAAGGATAGAAAAAAAGAAATGATGAAAAAAGTTGAAATCCACGCATGTGGATGAAGAGCTCAAATCCAGGTTGATAATTGGAACTTGAATAGATTTCATGGAATTATTGCTTCGATCGACCATTATAAGGGGAAAAAATGGGATCGAGTCGACGCAATGGATCACAATGAAAGGGCATCGATTTGTCCTCGTAAAGCATCCAATTTCTACGTCATACTCCGATGCAATTTTGTTGTTTTTTCCATCAGCAGGCGCAGACTTTCTTTTTTTCTCTTCATCTTTTCGATTTTTTTCTTCTCCTTCTTCAGGTGGCAATGAAGTTCCTTCAGGGCTTTCTTCTTACGAAGGAAGGACGTCCCTGCAATTTCCATATTTATCGGAAATAAATATTAAAAAATGAAAGAAAAAATTTACGGACTTGATTGTACAGCCGCTTCGGTAATTGGAGTTAGCACTCGATCGGGCGTACATTGCGATGAAGAGGAATAATTGCATTAAATGTACTTCTGAATAATGAGAATCTCCGAAGAGTTAATAAAAACATGTAATAAATGAATGATTCATACAAGATGTGGGGGCGATATTCTTTCAAAATGCTACCAGGAAATTGGCATGAAAAATAGCTACACATGACCTACACAATAGGCACCTTTTTTCTCTCTCTTAAATGCGATTTTTCAGAGCTTCCTCCTGTAGTTAACCTGTGGCTACAGAAGTGATCGTGTAGCCACAGGTACATATTGAAGTTTGCAAAATAACATTTTTTACCTTCCTGCCAGTAAAGTCAGAGCAAAAGCGGGGAAGGTCGAACTTCTGGGCTTAAAACCTTTTTAGTTTTCTAGGTGTTTCCATCTTGACTGGCTTTTCGCGCTTTTGTCTCGAGTTAGTTTTATCCCCCTCGGCAATCGGGAAGGATTATTATGATCATCCTGTGATTACTTCCCTCACATCCACAGCGTATCTGCCAGGGAAACAAAGGATGGATGGAGCTATGGAAACGGTATGGGCGGGGGAAATCGCTCTTCGTTCCTCGAAATCACGTGGTTGCTACGTAACTAAACCTGTCAAGGGCGAACCTTTAAAAGAAATAGTTTCGAGGACGAAACACAGGTACAAAACCCCATGGACATGCATGACTGTAGGTGAGACCGTTATCCAGGCTCGAAGGCCAAAGTTCAATGGAAATCATGCCCTCAAGATTTCTCAAAAAAACATACAATTGTTGGTTAACTGAATCCCAGGCAGCATTTTTTAAATCCCGCACGTGATTGCTGAATGAACCCAACCACCCACTGCCGAATGGTTACGGCACACCAAGGCCAAATTTGATGGCAATCGAGAACATGCATTATGTACACGGTCTCGAGTTAATGCACATGATCTGAACGGCCCTCATCGATTATATTTAATTTATTCGGAAATACCGCCTGGGGAGACATCCACCTCGTTCAAAATTCACATGGGAGGTGGACGGTTCGTAAGGGTAGCTTTTTGCACTTTGGCCATTTTCAAATTATAGGACTTTAAGGTTAATTTCCGCCAAAAAGAAGTTCGCTTTAGAAGCTTCAGAATAAGAGCGACGATTCTTCCGACCGTCGTCTCGACTGTAAGGAATACTGGACTGGTCAGCGTTTCGAGTCCAGAAATCCCAGAAATAAAATCCTCCCAAAACATTTTTTTCCAAATGGATGAGAACAAGGAAAATATGCTCACATCCGAGGTCTTTCTCACACTTTCGAAGGTTCTCGGCCAGCTCATTTAGTTGCGCCTCCTGCTCAACAAATCCGATCGCAAAATTATCGCCAACCATTCGAGAATGTGTTCATTCTCGATAAGCACCTTGGAGATGTGAACTTACGAGATGTTCCAGATGACCCATTTCATTGGGCTTCATTGGCAATGTCCCCATTTCCTAGATTCAAGAAGTAAATTTGATATGCAGCATACAATTGTAAATTTCGTACACTGCTGTTTCGTGCTTGGCTGTTTTTTTTTGTCTTTTCTTCTCTGCATCTCCGTTCGTTCCCTATAACCCCAGATCCAAGAGTGCCGAGCACGAATGGAAAGTTTGAACTCTCGGAGAGTTCCTCTCTGGGTGATTCCCACTCTGAGGGATGGGAGAGGGAGAGGAGGGGTGCGGGAGAGAATGGACAAAGTGGGGGGCAAGGTACCTCTGAACCACCGGGTTATGTTATGCGCTTCATGGGTCATTTCATGCTTCTTTTCTTGAAAATTGGAGGAGCATGTTGATAGCACCACCCAACCGCCCCCCCCCCCCTCCGACGATACGCCACTGTCATCTCATTTTTTTGCTTCATTTCTTGAAATGTGGGGGAGCACATGCCCCCCTTCCTCCTTCGCCCCCCCCCCCCCTCCGACGCTACGCCACTGTTCATGGATATGCTATTTATTCATACGCCAGGTGACTACGATATCGAGTCGTGTAGCAACGCACGCGATATGCCATCGCGATGATACGCGGTCAAGGATGGAGATTGGGTTCATTGCCAGATCACTTCTTCACTAGCCGATTCACGCTAAAAAAGTAAACTGCACGTTCAATTTTTTTGCCACGATACGCCAGGATACATGCATTGGTACACACTCACGGGTGAAATTGGTCTGTCATAGACCAATTCTTCTCTCAACACTTCCACTTCTTCAACCTCCGAGACAAATTCTGAGGAAATCACCAATCCATCGTTCACTAGGTCTTGAGCTGCGCACGAACGGAACAAGCATGAGTTAACACTGCCGCAAGCAAACCTGAGAAAATTGTGATAGTTGTGGACGAATGTCAGGCTAAAGGAGAAGCCTGACATTCGTCATGACCTGTCAATGACTCCTCCCCGGAAGACATTTCCAGGATGACAAGAAATGTCGGTTATTGAGGAAATTTTGGCTTTGACTTGTTCAAAACGTGTTAATCTGTTAACAATGCATTCAGGTTCAAAGAACGGGAAAATAAAATTTTACTTCGATCATTAAGGTCCATTCACCAAAAATTAATTGAAAATTCCCTGGTAAGTTCTATGAATTATATATGTAGGGTATCCAGAGTCCCTATTTAAATTAATAAATAAGGCAGTCAGTTTTCTCATTCTCATTCAGCAAAAGCAGTACATCATCTCCCTTTGTTTCCACGCACCGTCAGTACCAACATGGACCAGGATCATCCCATCACCGTCATCCTATCTCGACTTCTCCTCCTCGACCGGAAGGCAGTTCATGGGTGAGGCCTAGGGATAACGTTAGTGCGTCTCTTAGAAAAGAGGGAGGAGGGGGTTGGAGGTTGAAGAAAGGAGAAAGCATTTCAAAAATCATTTTCACTTTTCTTCATGGAGTCAATTTTCCACCTCCTGACCTCTGGTTTGAGCCAGGGCACGCCTCTGAACGATTACATCTCCTGAGATGGTGGTTGTCCATGGGGAGTTTCCGTTTCAACAAAATTCGCCGGGCGACATCTCCCTCCCGGGGATCACTTAACCTCTTTAGATCCTGTGACAAGTACACATGCCAAACCTTAACACGTTGAAACCCTTGCAGAAATCGCTTCTGTCATGTCATGTGAATGTCATGGATCACGCTGTAAGCCCTAGAAGGATTAAAGAGTTTCCGAAAAAAATGCATGCGCCTCATTGGACTGTGCATCATTGCAGGGGCTTCTGAACTTGGCGCTCCTTTGAGTATGGCCGCCCGCGTCGTCTACGATCATAAAAGCTACTGTCGATTACAACATTATTGGCCCTGCATGATCAAATAGTGTGGAAAGCTATTCATAAATAATGGGATATCGGACTCATCATAGAGCTCTTATGGAATGAGTCAAAACATATGATGACATTTACACATGCCACGAGGCATGGCGCAAGTAAAATAGCATTTCAATTTCTAATAACACGTAAATCCTTAATCAGCTTCGAGGGAGTGACATTGACCAACCTGATGACGAATGCGATTTTTTCAGACCCTCCCAGTACCAAGCTTACGAAATCGAAGACGACCGGAGAGAAGAGGAAGACCAGAAAGAAAAGCAATACACGAACTTTATTTTAAAGGAGAGTAAATCTGGTGGTGTTTGGTCTGATGATCATTGGAGCCATTCAATTCAACAAGTGCAATTTTTTCCAGGATGTTTGCTGTTCATGGTAACATGGGTTTTCATTCGGCTTGCCTATGCCCAAAACTGGAACGAGTGGTTGCAGAACGACCTGCACCCGTATCTTCTAGACGTGCCGCACAGAATGGCCTGTGCCAAGGGATACCTCGTACCCCCCCGGGCGCAGGTGGATTTTATGGGATTCCATCCGCACTTCCCGGACATTTTCTGGATCCGCCGTTGAACACAGGTGAGCAATGGGATACAAAAATTCCTCTAGTCTCATTGCCACCGAAGGAAGCTATTTCTTGCGGTGCTGTTTGCATACTGAGTACTTGGAAAAGTGAGAACCAAAGTATGGAGTGCCCAGTATTTTGGAATTGCTGATCTCTCCTCATGAGTGGGGAGAGGTCAAAGGAGGATGTGGATACTTCAGTATTATCGAGTACCACCCAGCCCAAGTTGCTACACTCGTCGGTGCAATGGCCGTGACAGGGTCGAAAAACATTGCTGAATAAGATCCTCGATTGCTGGCTCCTATAAATTTCTTTTACTTAAAAAAAATGCATGCTGCCAATCGTGCATCTCCAAGGAAGAAAACCTGGTGGCATGTACACATGCCACTCCATTTCTCTGACACCAAGGAAGATTGAAAAAAATATTGGCTCCCTTGCTTTGCCCATCGGGGGTGGAGCTTAGACAACCAGCCTAAGGATTTCAAACTTGGCACGTAACTTTACCATCGAGTCAGAGAAAGTAAACCGATGAGGCCAGGTTTCTCCTATTTTTACGAGATTATTAGATTCGTTGCATTTAACTGTGAACTTTAATCTCGAAATATGGGATGGTTGGGTGTCTATTTGTATATTAAAACCTATTTCAAGGTCCACAGTAAAAAAAAGTTGTCCATAGGTAGTCACTTCATGGAAACCCAGTATTTTTGAAAAGAGATAAGGAAAACGGTCAAGAAGCATACAGGTTTAAGGATAGGGTAATGAGATGTAATACAGTCCAACGATCCAAGGCTTTGCTCCATTCAGACATCTTCACTGGCAGGATCTGCTTCTCCATCCTTCTCTTTCCTACATATGCAAAAAGAATGTGACACAGGTCTTCAATCACAACATAATTGGAATAACACTGGAGCAGCAAAATGGAAAGAAGCATATTTCAATATGAAAAGACACTCACAGTCGCTGGTGACATCAGTTGAGTTGGGATTGGGCACATTGAAGATTATTCCCCATGTAGAGTTGCCTCTCACTGTCAGTGGTGGAAGTCAGATGTGTTCAATTCAGAGAACCTGCAAAAAAACACAAAGTCTTAAAAAAAGCAAAGCAAACTCAACATGTGAAGGTAAGCCAAACACAGAATCCATGAATAACATTCTTAGACCACAACAGAACATCTACAGTAAGGAACATCTGATCATGAATGTTCTCCATTAATAAACGAAAAAAGAGTTTGTCATAACAGGTGAAAATGCAGAAATATCACATCATTGGAATCTACAGTGATGCATGAGCTAATAACAAGAGTTTCAGGAATACACTGAATCATTGAGGACATCGAAAAAGACCATTCCTGTGAAGTTCAGCTTTTTCATTGTCTTACCCTCTTCCTTGCAGACAACATGAGCAGCAACTTCATCACTCAAAATAATTCTGGGGCTGTTAGCAATGAATTTTTTTGTTGGCATCCCTGCCTCCAGCATGACTCAATCAATGAGTCTGCAAATGTGGTGGAAAATGTAAAACAACTCAGAGATAAAAATCATGACATAGATTCTCAGGCCTAAATGCTGAATGCCTCCTTTGGAAATCCATGGAGACATACAAGGGAAAAAAAAGTTCTTCAGGTGAAAAACCATTTCATCATACATATCATGCATCTGGGCAAAATGTTTGAAAACAATGAAAACCCATGTTACCATGAACAGCAAACATCCTGGAAAAAATTGCACTTGTTGAATTGAATGGCTCCAATGATCATCAGACCAAACACCACCAGATTTACTCTCCTTTAAAATAAAGTTCGTGTCCACCACATCCACAATCATGACCATCAACTGGGTGTAATCATGTTGGGAGTTCAATGCCACACCAGTGAAATTGTGTTATAGAGCATGGAGCCCAGGTACCATGTACATGCAAAAACGCCCTTCATGCTACCTTCAAGACCCCATGAAACCAATGTAATACATTATGTGGATGAACTAATATTGTTGTACTGTTGTATATTGTAGTAAATTATTTTTGTACATAATTTGACAACATTACCTACATTGTTTGATGAAAACATGTCACCATCCAGCTTCAGGGATTTGAATGCGCATTATCTTATACCTGTCATATGATGGGTATGGGACTGAAAGTGTTTGCACTTTGACTGCCAAAGGGGTTTGGAATCACAGGTTTTCCCTATGGTGGAAGTGACAGCCAGCATCCCATTAGGCAGTGAATGTGTTAAATTATGTCCAGGTAACACATAACATTGAATCAACGATTGGATATGGATTGAGTATGCAAATGTTGAGGGTTGAATGTGACCATTGCTTCAATGTTGATAAAATGTTGTCACATCACATTGTGAATTCTAATTGGGGAATATTTGGATTACATTTCATGATGTGGCATCATTAACCCCTCTTAAAATAATGAAAAGTCAGACCTCCCTGTAGGTTTTCAGAGTGCGATTAACCTACCACAACACAGCTTCAATGTTGAAAAATTGTGACTCCTCAACTTCTGAGTTGCATGAAGTCTATTGTTATGGATTGAATATTGAATTTTTTTTTAGCTTGGGAACAAATATACTCCTATTTCCAAATATCCTACTGTCATCCCCGAGTGGTCATAGACAATGTTGACTCAACGTAGAAACATTTCTGTATCTTCTAGACTGTTCTCATATGACAAGCAACATTGGATATTAAAAACATTTATTGGACAGTTAGAACATTTAAAAACATTGTTTGAATGTCGATAGTGCGCAAATGTTGAGGATTAAAGGTGAACATTGAATCAATGTTGTTTCAATGCTCTGTTACTAGAGTAGTGCAGCATAGGCATGATCATAAAAGGACCAAGAGCCTTCAATAGATGGTATCCATGTTCCACTGTAGCCTCCTAATGAAATTACAGATCTGTCTTTCTGCATTAAAGTGTTTTTACCCCCTCTTTCTCCTTTCATTATGTAATTAATGAACATACTTATTAGAGAAATGTTGAATTATTACGATTTTGAGAGCAACATCTGATACTGAACTAAATTAAATGTCCAGGATTAGTATGGGCATATAGAAGTCTATGTGATTAGAGACATGTAGATCACTCTTAACAATAATCTAGTGTGATTCCTTCATGAATCAAAATAAAGGGAAGCTGGGGGAATTTGTTCTCTAGCTGGAAACCAATCAGGTGCTTAACGTTTCAGTGCCATTTGCAGAACTGAAGAGGACACATTCTCTCCACCTTCTCAGTACTCCACCCAATGGGTACTGAACTTTAGGAATGTTGATGCAATGTGAAAATATTAAATGAGTGTTACCATCAATATTGTTTCAACATTAACAAGGAATGCTGAAAAAGTGTTAAACAAAATGCCATCATCACATTGAATCAATTTGGGATTTCAATGTTGTTTCCACATGAATGTGTTACCTTGGTGAGTCATTACTTCAGGCCCATCCAGTAAGTAGCATGATCCTACAAGTTGTCACACTTTTTCAAATCATGTTACACACCAGGTGAATCAAGATTCAATGTTACTTCCAATTTTCAGGGCAAAATTTACCTTTCGATTGGATTTTTGAGGGCAGACATTGAAATGAAGCATTCTGCATCCTCCTCCTCCTTTTCTGGTATTCAATGTACTCATCAGCATCTTTCCCTCCAGTGTAACTCATGACATTTCCAGAAGGCAAAGAAATGAATGGCCCCACTGAAGTATTCTGCACCAGGATGTATAAAATGACACACAATAAGGATCATGGTGAGATTTCACAAAATGACTTAGCAAGCTAATGAGCAATAGGAACACCGCCACACACAACTTTCAAAAGTCAAATAAAGGAAAGGAAAAATTAGGGTATAAACCATACCATAAAGAGTCCACATGGACTTCATAAATGGCCAGGCAGTATAGGGCACTGATTGATTCCTGACCAGATATGGCATGTGCTTGTATTCCTGACCAGATATGGCATATGCTTGTACTCCTTCTTTGGGGGGAATCTACATAGAGTATTACCCCTCAGTCAAGAAATGGGCACAACATCCCATAAGTTATCATTCAAAAGATGCACAAGCATAAAAGACATGTATGAACACTGGATACAGATAATACCTAAAATTGAGATGGGTCCACAGAAGTAAGACACATCCAAAAAAATTAGGAAATAAACAAGATACTCTAAGAAACACAGACTCAATCCTTGTCCTAAAAGAGTAAGCTTGAAATATAAAACTATTATGATCCTTGCATTGAGGACAGCATCCAAAGCAAAACTAACCATCGTTAGTGAGGATCAACATTAAACAATCCTAAAGATTATGAATGTGGAATGTGGAATCCTCCTCCGCCTAGACCTTTCTTAATGACTGATGTCAAAATTGATGGTTTGTGATTTCTGGTTGTGGGGAATTTTCAATAAGAAGATGTATGCTACTAAAACCCCTAACATCCCTAACCTCATCACTGATAGCATATTTCTCTAAATCATACCAATTTGAAGGCCTATCACTTCCTACCTTCAAGAGATCTTCAAGGGCTGCCATAGTCACACCATGCTCCTGTTTCCACAATGCCAGGTTTTCCAAAGGGGACAACTAGTTCACCTAGAATCCTGCACAAAGAATCTTCCAGCACAATTAAATATCCACAATCAAGATCACTTTTGCTTGAAGTCCAATATCCTCATGGCTAAATTAGTACTGGCCTTATCCTTCTATAGAGAAGAAAAAAAAAGCATTGATATATGCTACATCCATGGATTGGAGTGATGACCTCAGAATTGGAATCATGAACCTACCTCAAAGGTTTTAGTCTCATTTGTATTCTCCATACTCCTTGGCCCATTTTCAGGATGCTGAATTTTCCTCCTGAGGAAGCAAAACATAAAGACATGCAGACAAGAACAGTGAATATTTGCATTAGCTTATTTCTAAGAAAGATTTGCCTAATTCAGTTTCTGTATGGTTTTACCAATTTCTTCGAGTACCTGGAATGAAGCCCCTTAGAAGGCCTGACTTCAACTTTAGGCATATTATTTCTTATTTCTTGACAAAGGTCCCATATCAAAAGCTTTTGCAAGACATTGAATCTAAAGGATTTCTGCAGTATGGTAAGAAGGAGGTCATGAGTTAGTATGCAACAATATCACTTTTATGTTATGTTGGGGTGAGCTTTGAAGTTGAATTCGAACAGTTCCAAATATTTCTCATGGGTACAATGCAAGATTTGAGAGGGTTGAGTTCTAGTTGAGTACCATGTTGCCTGGCACAGGCAAAAAAGTTAGGTTGGGATGTTGTTACTCAATCATAACTACATGAGTTACAAATATGGTCTTTTGTACATAAAGGGAATTTTTGATGATAGCAGTTGAAGAATGATGGTTCATTTGGGCTAGAGAATGGCTTTTTCTAAATATCATATGGAATTCAACTGGGAAGTTAAACTGATTCAAATGCTTCCTTCCCCATGAAGGGTGCTCTTTTACTTTCACCATATGGGCCTGTTAAACAGCTGTAGGGGTAGGAAACTCCCAGATACGATTTCACACTAGAACCACACATTATGATTCCATATCATACTCATAAATAAGCAGGCAGGCCCCTTTCTGCACTAACAATCTCCTACACTCACTTGTTTCCTGGAAATTTGTTCCCATTCTTCTCTGAGTATGACTGTGGTCAGGGTGTGTTGCTAAGGCATTTCTCAAAATCTCTTTCTTTAGGCCTTGTGTTAGCTGCCATTAGGTAGGACCATTGGCTAACCCTTCCTCCCATAGGCCCAGGAAAATATGAAAACTCAGAGGCTACATAGACAAAATTATACCTATACATTTAATGGGCAAAAGTCTAAAAAAAATGTCTCATAGGTAGATCTACAAAGGCTTTGCAGTTCCTTACCAAGACAGCATTCAATTCATGCAAGGACCCAGACCTAGAACTTGGACTTGGGCTTGAAGTTCTGTCTTGGCAGAGAATAGGTTCAGGAAGTGCCAGAAGGGAGATGTGTGGTTATACTCCAGGCTGAGGCATATTTGGGGGTCTACTGTCCAGCATGGAGGTTGGTGATACACCCCAGTCAAGGGGAAAGTTCTTCCTGAACTTCAGTCTACACTTGCCAAATTGTTTGTCGTTTACACAGCTTTCTCTCCATTAGGCCTGATGTCACTCTACAATATGCTGGAGGAACATAACAGAGATTGAAGAAAGACATTTGTGGCCTGAACTAAAAGCAATAGGGTATAGGGTTAGATATTGCCAGGTCACAATTCAAACTGCGATAACTCACTGTCATGGGCAAGGTCCATTCTGCCTAGGGTGACCGCCTGGGCAGAGGAATAAGACATAAGGAACTCAAGGAACCAGAGACAGGAAGATGTTTTCAAACTCTTGATGTACAAGGGCATCCCCTGATGATGATATTCACCACCATCCCCTTTCCACTCTCAGATGGCTAATCCTGACTTCTGTGAGTGAGTGAGGG